GTCCCGAGCAAGCTTGGTTAATAAGAGATTTATTACACGACTGGAGTTCAAAGGGACACAAGTGCGGTATCATTCGGGACAGTGCCCGGTCCAATACTTAGAGAATATTGACCGCCAATAGAGCATTTTGATTGGTTGATTTTAGTTATTGGCCCTCTGACTGCCCGAGTCGTGTAATAAAAAGGAGTATTCAGCACTTCTTTCATAATTAGACGTTCTCAAAATTAAACAGAGAATAACATCCATTTACATACACTGTACACTGTACACTGACCTTTTTTCTCGAAGTTGTCTTCTCTTAAAATGCAGACCAAGGCAAGGAATCTGCGAACAAAACAGTAACCTTGAATTGTTCCTGAATACAACAATTGACAAAAATGTGATCTACTTCATCATCAAAGCTCGAAAAAGAAATGTTACTCGCACGTTAACTTAAGTTAACGAAACTGCAGGAAAAAAATCATACCTCATGCTTTTCAAATACAAGTTAAATTTGGCGCTCCTTCTAACTGAGCTTTGAGGCATACCTAAGTTGGTTCTTTGTCCCGGAATATACTCGACAATAACTGCGTTATGTAAACCGCAATTAAATTTGAAAAGTTTTTATTGTAGAATCTTTTTCGTAGCTGTCTAGTGCGCCCCTTCTTTTTTATGCAAGTAGGTCATATTTAGGTTGGAACAAAATTTTCAAAATATTATTCACTTAGTGGTCATATGAATGAATGCTTCTTGCCTGAATTTGGTCGAGCCGAACGAGTAAACGTTTTGCGTTCGGTCCTTATGTCATGACCTTGAGTCGAAAATTTCCCGTCCAGCTAGGTTCTCGCTCAGTCAAGAAGTACATACATTGTAGTATGACAGACCATTAAAAAAAACAAAAAAACATGCCACGACTTTACTGAAGTTGCAAAGAAGTAACAAACTACCTTATTAAGCAAAATTTTGACAGCAGGTTAATCAGTTCGCGATTTTGAGGTGCGCATATTTCACGACACCTGAATTCCGCGATTTTGCGAAAATTGTGTATTTTAAAGGTTCTTTCATTTCGCGTTTCTGAGTAAGACACAGCTAACCTTTCCTTGGCAATATTCTTTAAAAAGTCCTTTAACCAAATCAAACGACTTCATCGAAGGAACAATAACATCAAAATTACCAAAAGCGTAACAGTAGGACTAAAACGTCACTAGTAACAATTAAACGGTTCTCACAATATCCCCAAGCAGTTCATGCTTGCTATTTTCGCGCCATGTTGTGACACAGGAGGGAGGAGTTAACTCTGTTTCCGGAGGAGCAGG